TCAGTGAGAATGGCACATATTAAAACAACTAGCAACAACAAGTGTTGGTGAGGAAGTGGAGAAAAAGGAGCCCTCCTGCACTGCTGGTGGGAATGCAAACTAGTACCACTATGGAAAACTGTTTGGAGGTTCCTCAAATTGCTAAAAATAGAGCTTCCATATGACCCAGCATTCCCACTCCTAGGTATCTACCAAACAACACAAAAACACTGATTCAAAAAGACACCTGCACCCTCATGTTTATTGCTGCTCTATTTACAACAGGGAGACATGGAATCAACCCAAATGCCCAAAAGTAGATGACTGGATTAAAAAGATGTGGTATTGAAAGACCAAACTGATGTCATGACAGGCTTCAGAATGCTTCAGAACCAGCCAGGCCCAAGTTTCAGTTATCAACAAGGTGCCAAGGCCGAGTTTAACTGCAAATGTCCTAATCTTGCTCATCCCGTAGCAACAGCCAACTAACAAGTAGGCAAGTAAGTACATATCAGGAAAAGACAGGTGTCCTAAGTAAGGTATGAGGGCCAAGTAGTGAAGATCACATCTTAGATGTATAGATCAACGGAGTTAAGACAAGATAACTTTGTTCAATGTCCACCAATCAATGTACTGCTGAGCAAAAACTCCACTCTGCTGGGCTGAAACTCCCCTTTTCTGTAATAAAAACCCTGCCTTCCCTGAGCTCAGGGCTCTCAACTTCGGCTGCTGCATCGTTGCATGTTGGGAGCCCAGGCTCGACCTTGCAATAAAGACCCTCATGTGCTTTGCATCAGAATCAGCACCTTGGTGGTCTTTAGGAAACTTGAAACCTGGCACAACAGTACATATACATAATGGAATATTACTCAGCAATCAAAAGATAAACTCATGCCTTTTGCAGCAACATGGATGGAGCTAACAAGGATCATGCTTAGTGAAATAAGCCAGAAAGAAAAAGAAAGATATCGGATGGTTTCACTAATAGCAGGGATGGGGGGTGGGGGCAGGAGCAGGACAGAGAGAAACAACTGTAATAGAGTATATATGAAAACAATGAACTATAAACCAGAGACATTTTATGGAGGTCGAAGGGGGAATGGGATCAGAACTAGGGTGGAAAGAGTACACTGGGCTGTGGTGATGGCACACAGGTGAATTGGTGGTGGGAAGTCCATGGGGATTACAACTGAGATGATGTGCACAAAATGAAGAATGATGTAAAAAATAATAAATGATAGACACTGTATTTGGGGGGGGGGAAGCAGAAATAAATGAAATAGAAGTTAAGGAAATAATTCAAAAGATCAATAAAATCAAAAGTTGGTTTTTAAAAACCCTGTGCAACAGGTTAAAGCACAGCACTATGAAACCACTGCAGCCACTGCAGCACAAGTTCAGTCCCCAGCCAGGGAGCTGACCCACATGGCGCAGCAGACCTCTCCTGACCCACCCACTGCTCCCCTCAGCAGGGTATTTTGTCAATCTGCCTGTTCTGTTCCCCACTCTGTCTTTGGTGAATCCTTTCACCCACCACAACTCTGACCTCTAAGCATAAATAAATCTTTTAAAAAATATATAGACAAATCTCTAGCCTTCATATTTTCCTTTGTATAAGTCCTTCACCTCTTCTGTTAGGTTTATTTCCAAGTAGTTGGATCTTTTTTGTGTCAATTACAAAAGGGATGGTTTTCTTGATTTCTTCTTCAGATTGGTTGGTTGTATATGGGAAGGCTACTGATTTTTGTGCGTTGATTTTGTATCCCGCTACTTTACTAAACCTGTTGTTAGGAATTTGTTCAATAAATGGTGCAGGGAAAACTGGGCTGCTACATGCAAAAAAATGAAGCTAGACTACTACCTCACATCATACACAGAAGCCAACTCAAAATGGATAAAAGAACTAGACATAGACCTGAAACCATAGAAAATATAGAAGAAAATATAAGCGAAACACTACATGACATACACCTCCGTTAACTTTTTTTTTTAAGAGATTTATTTATTTATGCTTACAGAACTGGAGTACAGACCAGAGGTGTAGGGGGTGAGAGAATTCACCAGACACAGAGTGGAGAGCAGAATAGGTAGACTGCAAAGTACACTGCTGAGGGGAGCAGCAGAGTCAGAAGAGGTCTGCCGCGCCATGTGGGTCAGCTCCCTGGTGGGGGATCAAACTTGTACTACAGTCTCTTCGGAGAGCTTCATAATGTGGTGCTTTAACCCTGTTGGGCCACGAGGGAGAGCCTTCAGTTAACATTTTTAAAGTTATATCACCCAATGTAAAGACAGTGAAGGAAAGGATAAACAGTTGGTACTACATCAGGTTAAAGAGAGTCTGTGCATGCAGGAAGAGACATTAGCCAAAACAAAGAGACTGGAAGAAAGTTTTTGCATACAATATGATCTACAAAGAGCTGAAGAAGCTCAACAAAAACAAAGTGAACCACCCAGTCAAAAATGGGTAGAAGAAGATCTCCCTGGTGGAATAAGGGGGTAATTCTCAACACTATGAAGCTATCCACAGCCACTGCAGCACAAGTTCCACTGCTGTCAGGGAGTTACCCACAGGGTGCAGCAGACCTCTCCTGTTTCTCCTGTGGCCCCCTCAGCAGTGCATTTGCCTGTTTTGCTCCTCACTCTATCTCTGGTGAATCCTCTCACCCCCATACCTCTGGCCTGTACCCCAGTTACTATATGCATAAATAGATAAATCTTTTTTAAAAATGGGCAGAAAAGCTAAAAAGACACCACTTTGCCAACGAGGAAATTGAAATGGCCAACAGGCATATGAAAAATGTTCACCATCACTCATAATCAGGGAAATGGAAATCAAAACCATAATGAGATACCATCTCATACCAGTTGAGTGGCACATATTAAAAGAAAACTAGCAACAAATGTTGGCAAGGATGTGCAGAAAAAGGAAGTCTTCTACACTGCTTGTAAGAACGCAAACTGGTCCAACCAGTATGGAAAGCTGTTAGGTTTCTCAAACTGCTAAAAATGGAGCTTCCATATGATCCAGTAATTCCATTCCTAGGTATCTACCCAAAGGACAAAATACATTGATTCAAAAGGTAACCTGCACCCCTATGATTATTGCAGCACTATTTACAATAGGTAAACTATGGAACCAACCCAGATGCCCAAAACTAGATGACTGGATCAAGAGTGGTACATACACAGAATGAAATATTACTCAGTAGTCAAAAAGATAAACTCTTGCCATTTGAGACAACACAGATAGAGCTGGAAGGGTTAATGCTCAGTGAAATAAGCCAGAAAGAAAAAGGAAAAAAACAGATGGTTTCACTTTTAGGAGGAATGTAAGGGATCAGATAAAAATTAATTAAAGTAAAAATCAACAGACAACTACAAACGAGACATTCTGCAGTGGGGGAAAGGGGAGTAAAATCAAAATGGATGAGAAGAGCACAAGGGACTATGGTAATGGCACAACAGGTGAACTAATGGTGGGAATTCCACAAGGAGTACAATTGAGATAAAAAAAAAACAAAAAAGCATATATTGTACAAAAACGAAGAATGATGTAAATATATATGTATATATAATTTAAAAAAGAATACACTTAAGAATACTTTACGTGTATACATACATGTAAAAAGTAATACCCAAATGGTCGGCCCTCCCTGATAGCACAATGGGGTAAAGCACAGCATTATGAAGCTATCAGCTAACTTGCAGTACAAGTTCAATCCCTGGTTAGGGAGGAGACCCACATGGCTCAGCAGACCTCTCCTGTCCCACCCGCTGCTGCCCTCAGCAGTGTACTTCAGTCACTCCTCCTTTTCTGTTCCCCACTTTGTCTGATGAATCCTCTCACCTCCCATGCCTCTGGCCTATACCCTGGTTCTTGTATGCATAAATAAATATTTTTTAAAAAGCAAAATTCAAATTTTACTATACTTATTTTACATATACTAAAATTGGAAGAAAAGAGAGTAATATGGTCTCTGCGCAAGCCTTAAAAAACAGTCAAAAAAAGGGCAAAAGAACTAAAAAGGTACTTCTTCCAAAGAAACGCAAATGGCCAACAGGCATATGAAAAAATGTTCAACATCACTAGTTACTAGGGAATACAAATCAAAACCATAATGAGATTCCACTTCATTCCAGTAAGAATGGCCCACATCAAAAAAAAATGGAAACAAATGCTGGTGAGAATGTGAAGATACTGGAACGCTCTTACCCTGCTGGTGGGACTATAAATTGGTTCAGCCATTATGAAAAGCTGTATGGGGGTTCCTCAGAACACTAATACTGGATCTACCCTACGATCCAGGGACTCTATTCCTAGAAATCTATCCAAAGGGCACAAAAACACAAATTCAAAGGAAAGCTGCATCCCATGTTTATCACAGCACTTTTTACAGTAGCCAAAATATAGAAACAAGCGAAATGCTCCCAAACTGGGTGGCTGGATCCAAAAGTTGTGGTGCATTTATACACTGAAATATTACTCAGTGACCAAGAAAGACAAACTCATGCCGTCTGTGGCAACATGGATCAAACTGGAAGGGATTATGCTAGCCAAATTGCTCAGAAGGGAAAAGATAAATAACAAACAAAAGGTCAAGAAAATGTCAAAACTAGCAAGCTGACCATAGAACTGAGGCACACAGCAAAGCAGGGGGCAGAAGGGGGCCAAAACAGGGGAGGGAAGAACACAAGGGAATATGGTGACGGTTCATGGTGGTAAGGTGGCGTGAGGACTTAAGGGGAGTATAACAATGTAAGAAAAAAAACCGATAAAGAAATATACCTGCTTATGATTATAATTTTATAAAATGTTACCACTGTGGGAAATTGTGCAGCTATATGTGGATCTAAGATTATAACATGTGCAACTTTATCAATATATAATCATATATATACATCCTTGTATCAACAAAAAAGCATATTAAAAAGTAGAGTTAGGTGTTAATGAACGGACAGGAGCCTAATATACATTATTTTTTGGCCTTTATAGCAAAATTATTTAGCAACCCTTTGTTTAAAAAAGTATTTACTTATTACATTAACACTAAACGCATGTGCAATAAGATATAAAATATCGATTAATCAAAGAATACAATATATGGCAGATAATTAAAAATAATATCCTTCTCTAAAAACTTTACGTTAAAGCTGAAGTTGTAAGTTGATAATTTTGCCCTTCTGGAAGCTTTATCATGAAGGTAATAGAACAAATAGTTATCCATAACCATCAACTACTCTTGCCCTAATAAAAACTCCTAAGCCAAAATTAAGAGGGAAATATTTTAATGATATTTTGTAGCACAAAAATCAAACTAAGACAAGAAAAAGTGGTTTAAGTGAATCTGTAAAGCTATAAATTACACTGCTTTAAATCTTGACCTAACCCAGATGCTAAGAATAAACACATTCTTCAATCAGCAGTTTTTCATTTCTCAAGGCACCATCCGGCAGTATATACAACAAAAAGATCTTTCTTGGCTGAAGTCCCCAACTTGTTATTTAATTACAATAATACCTGAAACTAGTCATCTCTGCATCCAAATGAGTCTATCTGTATGGAGCTTGCTTCTAATGCTCCTCATGACCCTTCAGACTAGACTTCTGATTTCTCCTTTCTTTCTGACCCTGAATTCGGAACAGCTTCTTCCTGAGTTCCTTCTGTCGCTTCAGTTTCTCTTCTTCCTCCTTTTGCTTCACCTTGAAGTGTTCTTTATTGTGCAGACGTCGTTGCTCCTTGGCCTTCTTCATCTTCTCACTATGTACTGTACTCAGAGCATCCAGCAGTGCAAGGATCTGACAAGGAAAAAACCCAGTGAGCATAAGAATATTTTTACAGTCACTGTGTACTTATTTCTAAGTCTCAGGAAGCTTAACCACCTCAGCTAGCTGTACCAAAAGTAGAGTCAGGGGTTTCCCTAGTGCCACAATGGGTTCAAGAGCAGTACTATGGAGTTAACTGCAGCCGCTGCAGCATCGTTCTGATCCCAGCCAAGGAGCTGACCCACACGGCATGGCAGACCTCTCCTGACCCATCCACTGCTCCCCTCAGCAGTGTATTTCAGTGGATCTGTCTGTTCTGCTCCCTGCTCTGTCTCTGGTGAATCCTCTCTCCCCTTGCATATCTGATCTGTACCTCAGTTCTTGTATGCGTAATTAAATAAATCGTTAAAAAAAAAAAAAGTAGAGTCAGTCCATGATTTAAATGAATATTAATCTAGTGGAATTAAAAAACCATTCATGAAATTCAAATAGAAACATTATTTACTTAGCAAAGAAGTTAAGTAATGGCCTTTACTACAAAACTATCTTTGTTAGTCATTCTGTGTATACTGAGAAGTATAAAGACAGCCTATTATCCCCCATTAAAATGCATAAAACTGAGCCTAAGGGAAAAGGGCCTATCCTCTTAACTTTCAATTCTAGTGCCTTGAATAAGTCTGGCCCTTATCCTTTCCTGGTGAAAAAATGAGAATGTAGCAGAAATGCCAAGTTTGCTACAGAAAGCATTATGTTCACATCTAATTGCAAAGGATCAGGAAATTTTCCAATGACAGTACCTTTCTTTCATGAGGCTCCCGTATGACAGCTGGTCTCAGCTTGTCCTTTGGCGTCTTGCCTGCCTTTGCTTTGGTCTTGGGCTTGTTCTTAAAAGGCAGGGCCTTCTGCAAAGCTTTTGGAATGTGTAGTGTATTAAAATGTTTCTTTTGCCTCACAATCGGCTGAAAAGAAAAATAAAAGTGTGACATTATGATCTGTGCACTTAAAACTTACAATGAATTGACTTTAGACAAGATGAGTAATACCAGTGTCTGCAAACCATTATAGAAAGAAGGATTTAATCGTGCATGAATTGTCTCAATGGACATGCACATGTCTGGGCAAAACAGAAAAACTATACAGAATATAGTTATAATTCTTCCAAGAAATCAACGGCACCAATTTTTATGGTATGAACTAAGCTATCTCGACCAAATAGGTGAATAGACCCAAAGATTCTGTTAATGAAAATTCAGCCTTTATCTTTATGGCACTGAGGTGGCTTTTTTTTAGCCTCTAAGTATAATCTAGTTTTTCATTCTGAGCATCAGTTTCTGGATTTAAGGTTCTTCCTCCAATCAGTAGCCAAAATAGTCCATCACTGATTCTCATTAAGAAATTTAACTTTAGGCCCTCCCTGGTGGCGCAGTGGGTTAAAGCACAGCACTAAGAAGCTACAAGCCACTTCCGCATGAGTTTAATTACCGCCTGCCCTGGAGGTGACCACATGGCATGGTAGACCTCTCCTGACCCGCCCACTGCTCCCCTCAGCAGTGTACTTCGTGGATCTGCCTGTTCTGCTCCCAACTCTGTCTCTGGTGAAGCCTCTCGACGCCCTCGAGCCTTTGGCCTGTCTGTACCCCACTTCTGTATGCACAAATAAATAAATCTTAAAAAAAAAAAAGAAATTTAACTTCAATCTCTTTCTTTCTAATGTAAAGCTGGCTGAAAAAGTGAAATTTGAAAAGATGAAGGCAAAAAACTATATTTAATTTTCAAGGTAGGTAAATTTTATGCTTAAAATGAGATGACCAAAAATCTTAATTTCCTTAGACAAAGTAAGTCAGCAGCTTCACCCCAGATTTTTATCCAAGATCAACAACCAGAGAATATTCCTGCTACATTTTTAGATGTATTAAAGACATCACCATGAACAATGACAATGTTCTGCTTAGTAATTTAAAACATCTTAGAATAAAATTACCAGAGAACTCATCTCAAAAAAGAATAAACACCAAAGGCTGGACAGTAGGTACCACATCCATAATTCAAAATTTAGTCATTTACAGTTTTGTAGAAAACATAATGCCTAAAAAACTTCCATTTCTACTAGAATGGCAGACCAATACTCTGAACGACCCTCCTATTAAATATCTCACATTAAAATAAACGCTATCTTTTCAGGTCCACTGTTAACCTGTGAAGATAATAAAGTTCCCAGAGACCAAAATCTAAACAAAAATGGGAATCTAGAAAGGCACTGCGAACTTAAAATGAAAAAATACCAATGAGACGAACTAACAGCAAGGATATGGAACAAGAATGCTAATAAAATGTTAGTAAGAGTCTAATCTGGCATGACTTCAGAATAGTATGACTTCAGGCAGCAACATTAATACCCTGTTACAGCCCCACCCTAGGCATCTATGCAACAGAAGTGGTGCACATGCACACCAACCAAGTGGCATGTAAGTGTTTAAGTCACAAGGTCCAAAAGTTGAAGATAATGTCCATCAATGAATAAAGTGACACTGTCGATATAATGAAATTCTACTCTAAAATGATAACTAATGAATAGCTGCTATAGACAAGCACATGGATGAATCTTACTCTGTTAAAGGAAAGCAGCTAGATGCAATAGTATTACTAGCTTTATTTTATAAACTCAAAGACAGGCAGAACTAATTTATACGTCAGGAGTCATGTTTGAGGTGAAGACAGAATAGTGCATGGGAGATCACAAGGGGGAGCACCTGTTGTAATGGTAATTCAATGGTTTGTTAAAATTCATTGTACACTTATGATTTGTGTATTTTTTTTTTACGTATCTTAACAGTCTAATAATAAGGCTATCAACTTTCCCTCAACCCAACATGGCTTCAATTAGAACTAGCAAAATAAGAACTACCGTACATATATATGGTGGAAAAAGAGCTCAAAAGAGAATACAATGAGAAGTTTAAGTATGCAATGAAAAGTTAAAATATGCTTTACAATCCACAAAAAAACTACTATGACCATTTTCCTGTGTTCCTTCCCAAACATTCTATAATATATAACATATTCAATCAGATTTACCATTAGATCTTCTATTTGAAAATTCAAAGCATAGAAAACACTATGTACAAAGCACCTGGATACCTCCTGTAGAGATTAAATAGTCTATACCTTATACAGAGAATCCTTGTTGGGCTTTAGTTTGATACCATGCGCAAGTCGGAGTTGACCAGTGGTTCGCATTCCTGACCAGGTATCTTTCTCACCAACTGCCTTTAACAAAGAGGTTACTGGGTTATAGAAGGCTGGAATGGAAACAGGGTACCAAGTTCTCATGAACACAATATCTGCAAAGAGAAAAATTTAACATTTTCAAAGAAGATTCATGTCAACTTACCAAGCAAAATATTTGCCCCAAACTAGTTTTGAATACTACAAAAATGAGCCAAATGACTCCAAACAAAGCATGACCTGGCACAGTGCATATACTCATCTGGGGAGCATTGGAGCAAACTCCAATTTTCTAAAGACCTAAATTACAACCTCTAATCCATGCTGGCTATAAATCAACAGTGAAAGGTAACACATTGTTATAAATACAGCACAAAGGATATTTACCACTCATCAGCAACTTATCCTCAAAGCTGGCCCGGAAAGCTCCTTCTGGAGCCCGGAGTGCTTTCTTGATCTGGCCCCTTATTCCACTGACAGTTCGAATTACAGCGCCTTCAAACTTAGCCACTTCCAAGGCAGAATTAAACATTCCCTTCAGGTATATGAAAAGTAAAAATACGTACATAATATCAGTACCTTACCCTCAGTTCATAAATACCATAAATAAAGGATGATGAAGTAATAACATATCTCCCAACCTAAAAGTGAAATTACTAATGAGTACAACTTTGTAGGCCCACCCACAAGTTCACCACTGATATCATTGTAGAAGAGATCAAAGAGATTATTTGTTGGAATGAACTGGCCAAATAACCTTGGGTATCATCTCACAGGGATGGACTGTAGCTCAGAACTTATTACTTTTGTATACACACATCCAGAAAAAGGGGGAGTAATAACTTGCAAGCTGACCATAGATTTGAGGCATATAGCAAAAGATGGAAAATGGGTCAAAATAGGAAAGGGAAGAGAACAAGGCACTGTGGTGATGGTCATGGGTGCTGGGGTGGAGGGAGAACTACAGGGACTGTACATGAGACAGGAAATCAAATACTGCCCCAAAATTAACAATATAAGAAAACTTAAAAAGAAAAAAGAGTGAGATAATGATGGTGATACCTTATAAGAACATTTAATAATCTTAAACACTACCTTTAAACGCTAATAAAATTGTCAATGTTGGTCAAACTACCCTCCCAGATTATATAGTGCTCAAAATGTCCATTTTTCTGTATCCTTGCCAAGAGTTTTTTTTTTTTTTAATGCTTCTATTTTTCTACCAGTTTGACAAGTCTGTGGCCTTCTCCTTCTTGTAACAACTAAAAAGGCAGGAAATCAAAATCCAAAGGATAAGATCACAGAAATCAGTTTTGTGGTAGAGTCACATGTAATAAATATCGCCTCTACTACTAATTACCTCCATTTTACTGCACCTTAAGATTTCTGATCATATTTAAGTAACAGAGACTATATCAAAAAGGTATAGAAAATATCAAAGGCCAATTTTACAAAAGATTTCAAATACTCTTAAAAAATATTACTTTTATTAGAAATATTTCATTTTCTTTTAACAGTGCATATATTTGTAAATATGTCAATATACAGATATACAGACCTTAATAAATGAAGTGTTCTTGAAAATTTTATATGGAAAACCAGTGAGCTTTAATTTCTTCACAATTTTTATGGATTTATCCAGATCAAGGACAACTCCTGTGGCAGCTATCCGGAAATCAGGCTAAAATGAGGTCCCCCCAAATTTGAAAACAGGAATAAAATCAGCAAAAAGAAAACAATTTTCTGTGATACAATAAATTACCCAAAGTGCACTTCACTTATAATCAGCTAAGAAAGAATAAAAATCACTGAACATGCAAATAACTATTTTAACAAAAGCAATCTGAATTTCTAGTATGTGGAAGCCAAACTAATGATACCTTCAGTATTATCCTAAGAGTGATTTCATAGTATCATAATTTCACAATAATGGGAATGAAAAGGAATATGATAATTTGGTTATAATGTTTAAGAAATTAAATTTTGTATCTCTAGGGCAGATTCCATCTGTTCATTATTCTATTTTCTATTAAATAGGTCCAATAAGCTTGTTCTAGTTGATCAAATGAAGACAGAAATTTCACTAAACCAGCATTAGAGGGATAAGTCTAGATGGTATCCTCTGAACATTGTAGTGCTTAGCATACAGTGATCACTGTTTAATTTTTAGAGAAATAAATCTAAAAAATACATAAAATATGTAATGTATCATTGATACCATTAAACTCTTTTTTTAACCTTCCTCTTCTCTACTCTCACTCTACTTTAGAAGATGTAGAAAAATTCAGAGACATTTACTATACTCTAAAAGTGAATATGAGCTCAAACAGTTCAAAACAAGGAATAAAAATACAGAAGGACCAAAATGGCAAATGTAGGTGCCAGTATATCAATATTATCTCTAAATGTAAATGGCTTAAACTCATCAGTTAAAAGACACAGAGTTGCAGGATGGATTAAAAAACAGAAACCATCATTCTGCTGTCTGCAGGAAACACATCTAACTACAAAAGATAAAAAGACTGAAAATAAAAGGATGGAAAACAATCCTACAAGCAAATGGGCCAAAAAAGAAGGCAGGAACTGCTATACTTATATCAGATCAAATAGACTTCAAACTAAAAAAGTTAAAAGAGATACAGAAGGCCACTCCATTATGATTAAGAGGACAATACAACAAGAAGAAATAACAATCATCAACATATATGCACCAAATGAAGGAGCACCAAAATATATTAGGAAACTACTGTCATCTATGAAAATGTATATCAGAGAGAATACATACATAGTAGGAGACTTCAACACACCACTCTCAACAATGGACAGATCAACAAGACAAAAAATAAGACACTAAAGTTCTGAACAAGGACCTGGACAACATGGGTCTAGTGGACATCTATAGAATACTGCACCCCAGAAAACCTGAGTACACATTTTTCTCAAATCCACATGGATCATTCTCTAGGATTGACCACATACTGGGTCACAAGATAAACATCAACAGATACACTAAGATCGAAATCATACCAACTATTTTCTCCGACCACGAAGGAATCAAACTAGAAATAAACCATATGAAGAAGGCAAGAAACCCACCTACCACATGGAGACTAAAACCCACAATACTGGAAGACCATTGGATCAAGGAGGAGATCAAAGAAGAAATTAGAAAATACTTGGAGAAGAATGACAATGACGACACAAGTCTCCAAAACATATGGGACACATTAAAAGCAGTTATAAGAGGAAAATATATAGCAATTCAAGCTCACATAAAGAAACAAGAAATAGCTCAAAGAAACAACCTAATGTCCCACCTTAAAGAATTGGAAAAAGAACAACAAAATAACCCAAAAGCCAGCAGAAGACAAGAAATAATAAAAGTCAAATCAGAAATAAATAAAATGGAAGTCAGGAAAACAGTCCAAAAAAAATCAATGAAATCAAAAGTTGGTTCTTTGAAAAAATAAACAAGATAGACGGGCCACTAGCCAGACTCACAAAGAAAAACCAAGAGAAAGCACAAATAAATAGAATCATAAATGAAAGAGGAGAAATCACAACAGACCCAGCAGAAATCAAAAGAATAATCAGAGAATACTATGAGCAACTATATGCAAACAAATTGGACAATTTAACAGAAATGGACAAATTCCTACAACTCTAAAAGTGAATACGGGCTCTCCTGGTAGCACAAGCACAGCACTATGAAGCAGTCACTGTACCATGAATTCAATCCATGGCCAGCAAGGTGACACCCACAAAGCGACAGACCTCCCCTGTCCTGCCCGCTGATCTCCTTTAGCAATGTATTTTAGTCAATCCACTTCTGCTCCTCACTCTGCTTCTGGTGAATCCTCTTAGCCCCCATACCTCTTGCTTGTAGCCCAGTTCTTATATGCATAAATAAATAAATCTTAAAAAAAAATGGATACTTTACATTTTAAAGTTTCATGTAAATATTTCATATTCAAGATATATTTATCAAACACAACATACAAGATATTTACCATTATGCCACTGACAGACTGGATTGCCAAGAACCCAGTTCCTTGTGGAGTGATAGGTCCTTGAAGACAGCAAACAAAAAATATTGTGAACCACAAATTTTGGATTCTGTTTTACATATAATCCACACCAAAAAAAAAACAGGGATTTCATAAAAGAAAAAAACTATAACAATAAATTACATTTATCTTAAATTAATCTATAAGCAAGTTATTTTTAGTCACACTTTACCCCAAAAGGTTGCTCCACAATGCATATGCTGTGGGGTATATTTTAGAAGCCTTTGTCTTCCATTGTGGTCTTCAATATAGTAGAGCGGGATGGTCTGAAACCTCCTCCACCCTACAGAAAGAATGATTGGATCTCGGGACTTGAGAATTTTCTTATACCAACGATGTTTCTTTAGACGCATCTGCGGGGGAAAGAGATTTCAATGACGTATTGGTGCAAGTATGTCCAAAAAGCTTCAAATGTGAAAATATATCAAAAGGTACCTGCCTGTACATATCCGACGTTGCCTTCACTATTGCCCAAACCACCCAAAATAAGTGGATAATGGGGGTCAAAATTAAGCACGAATTCACAGGGAACATTCTCTATCTCAATTCGGACATACATCCCAGGTCGAAAACCTTCATACTGAACTCTCGCCTCATCATCTTGATCTTCAAATTCTGCCCTATTAAGCTATATGTGAATGGGAAGGAAACAAACAAAAAAAACTCAACATTGTTATCTTCAAAAACAAAAAAGATTAACATTTAAAAAACAAGCAATTTCTACATAAAGGAACCACAGACAGAATTATTCAGGCTTTATCCTAATTTAAAATAATACACATTTTATCTTTACAACCTGTTCAAGATATATTCCAACTGCTTTCTTCTCTGCTGCTCTAAGATAAAGCAAATGTAAACAACTCTGAAAGGAGCCCTTAATGCTGGAGAGCAAACATCCAACTTTCCAGTCTACACTTTCTTTTCTTCCTCTCCAATTATTTCATACTTCCTGCAAACACCTAATGTTACTCTTCATTCTCACTCCCAGCTGCTGACTGCTTCCCAATTCACTCAAAAATTAAGCAATCTAAAAGAATTTCTACAGTCAATCCTCTACCACAGTTAACATTCATGTCTAGCCTGTTCGTACAGCTCTACACTGTTCAATGCAGTGGCCACTCAAGACTGCTCAAATGTCAGTTAATGAACATTAAGTAAGATTTAAAAATTCACATTCTCAGTCACATTCGCCACATTTCAAGTGGTGAGCATCACATGTGTCTAGGGGCTTCAATGCAGGAAAAACACTTCCATTATTACAGGAAGTTCCACTGGAAAACTGTTAGAAATTATTTATCCATGCCTTTATTGATGGCCACACTTCACCTACTTTAATCCAGCAGATATTGTCTGTTATTTCTCTCATGTCAGTCTTCTTTTGACCCTATTTCTTCCATCTATTGCCCATTTTTGTTTCTGTTTGAAGCAGTAACACCTCATAAGCTTTCTGTTACCATATTATCCAGTTCCTCTGCTCCCATTGTCTTAAATCCCTTAAAATTGGACTTCTAGGGGAAAAAAATGCACTTCTACCCAAACTATTCAAAAAATGCCAGTCACTAAAGGCCTCCATTCCCGATCCAATTAACACACCAACGGGTGTGCTATTTTTTGACCTACTATATCTAACTCATTACGCTTCAATTTCTTCTCTTGTGCAGTATTCAACCTCCTTTGCTGCTTCCTTCTCCCTGCCTTGCCTCTTATATTGAATACCCAGTGTCAGTCTTGGTCTTCTGCCTCTATGCTTACTCCTTAGGTCACCCCATCCATCTCATGTTTTTAAATAGTGCTAAGAATTGTACCTCAAAGTCCCTCTAGCACTCTTCACTGACTAACTTGACATTCCATTTGTCTGAGATTAACTCAAATCTAGGAGATCCAAACTTCATCTTCCCAGATAAACCTGCACCAATTAGAGGCTTTTCTTTCTTACTTATGCCAACCTAATCCTTCCATTAAATCAGCCTTATTTCATTTCTTACATACGTCATTCATTTAGCTTTCAAATAAAGTATATCCAGAATTTGACTCAGGTCACCCTACCCTCACCCCACACCTGTCCCTCAATGTGAGTCACCTTTATCTTACTCAACTCTTGCCAGGGCACTTATTTCAAAGGATGTTTCCCTTCTGCTCAAAACCCCCATGGAACCGCAGAAAACTGTGAATGAAATATCGAAATCCTTTATAATGGCCCACAAGGTTCTAGGCAATTTAAACATAAATGCCCGAAAGAGAAGATTTCAGAACTAACTTTACAGTCATAGCTGCTTCTGTCAAAAGTCAAAAAGACTTGGAACCACTATATAAATGACTAACCACATTATAACTTCTTTGCTTAGAAGGTCTAGGTTGAGCAAAGCCTATTAACCACATTTTCACAAATCATATACTTAATTTGCATAAGGCACATGCAGCATAATATTTTGTTCCAGTTTAAAGGAGTTCTTAGTGGCCCCTTATCAAAGGGGAACTCAACGATGTACTCATCTTTGTGTTTCCTTCAGAGCGGGTTGATTAACTTAAACTGCCTGAACAGCTGCAAAGGCGGGAGGGCCAGAATCTCCCTTTCAGCACTGCACAAGCTCCCTTTATCTCCACACCTGACCTGACACTCAGACTATCCTCTGAACCAAGGTGAGTCTTCACATAACCTTTTGCAGAGAATGCAGGTATGTGCATAAACCATAAAGGCTAAGAATCACCTACTCATTTAAGTTAGTTAATTATGATCCAAGAAGCAGTAATCAGAATGCTCAGATAATGTTTGCATTTTAAAATGAACACTGTCCTAAATCACTATATTAAGAGATCCTCAAAAGTAGCCATTCTGCCTGAGGCAATCCTGTCTTTTCAGCACTTAATTCTTGGTACAAAATGGGCACTGATATTTTTCTGGTGAATTTCTGATGGAATAAATACACAGATAACTGTGAATAGACACACTCACTGCTTATTAATCTAGAAGTCCAAACAAGAAGCACAAAAACAGGCCAAGAAGCAGAGACATAACATATGAATTTACCATCTTGAAATGAAGCTGACAGGAACTGAGTTTTCTTACCTGTGCTTGTTTCTGCATTTCTCCTTTAAGATCATCAAAATAGGTCCTTTCTCCCTCATCATATTCTGCATCAAACATTTCCTTCAATTTTCTCTTCTTATCCAAATGTTTTTTCCTGGCACTTTCTTCTTCATTTGGGTCAATTTCTTCCTTGACTTCTTCCTCTACATCTTCAATCTTAAATTTACAAAAAAGAAAAATGTTTTAAAGTCTATGAAGAGCTTTCCTTTAAACCATAAAGCAGATTAAAAAATTACATCGAGCTATATCTTAAGGTATTATCATCATGTAAACAAGCCAAAAGGATTTTAGTTCTAAATAACCTATATTGATTGCTATGAGACATTTAGAATATATCAGAATTCCTAAATCTGGTTGGGAATGCTAAATATGAATAAAAAGTGTCCTTACCTCAAATGCCCCCAGATACTATTCAAAAGAAAGATTACGGGGAATAGGGAGCTCTTTTTTAAATGGCACTTAAATTTAAGAAGAAAATGATGGAAAAAAGGAAGACAGTGACTAAAGAGCTAAAACTTTCAATGACTGAAGAATCATAAGGACAAGAAGAGGTAGTATCACCCAAAAGATCAAGAATAAACCAGCAATCTTTGACTTATCCCCATGCTCCATATTTTTAGGAAGCAATCCATCCAGTCTATGAATCTACACAGAAAACCAGTAAGACCTGTACTCCTTAATATGGGACGCCCTTAGAACACAGTGACCACAGATCAAGGACCAATGGTGAAGCTGCCCATGACAAAGTCTTACCTGAGTTTCCGAGCCAGACTTCCCCTTGTGCACATCCCCTGTTTCCAGGTCTTCAAAGTCACCATAAAGTTCCTCTGGAAAAAAGTTCCAAAGAGTCCTCTGTGAACAAGGCTGCATATGATACTCTAGCATCACCCAGCACCAGATGGGTTATGAATTCTGTAATCCGAATTTCACTTTCATTGTTCCTGTTGCTGCACTCCCCAAAATAATCTACATTTGCTTAGGCTTCTTTTTCTTTCAAACTGTTAGTATACAGTTTAGATTAATTAAATGGAATCAATTCATATTTCTATATTTTACTTCAAAATCTCACTTATCCAAGAGCTATTTTTCCAGTACAGGCAACAGATACTCTGTTGCAGAGATGCACACAGTGGTGGCATATCTAGCACTACAGCTCAGTCCTTGCAAGTCAAGAGTTTAAAGAGTGATTTGAAAAGCTACTATTTGATAATAATGTGAAAAAATTTTTTTAAATAATACAATAGTTTATTTTTACATCATTTTATGTATTTTTCCATCTCAGTTGTAATCCCCGTGGGCTTCCCATCACCAAATTACCCATGTGCCATCACCATTGTCCAGTGCATTTCCCTTCCCCCATTGTTTTTGATCCCATTCCCTACTCCACCCCCGCAAAATGTCTCTGGTATATAGCTATTCATTATTGTTATTATTTTCTCGCCTTGTGCTTTATACTCCTGCTGTGAGTGAAATCATCTGGTATTTTTCCTTTTCTTTCAGGCTTTTCACTAAGTATGATCTTTTCCAGCTCCATCCATGTTGCTGCAAAAGGCATGTGTTTATTTATTTTTTTGGTTGCTGAGTAATATTCCATTGTCTGTATGTACCACATCTTTTTAATCTAGTCATCTACTCTGGGGCATTTGGGCTGTTTCCATGTCTTGCTGATTGTAAATAAGGCAGCAATAAACATGGGGGTACAGAGATCTTTTTGAATCAGTGTTTTTGTGTCTTTTGGGTAGATACCTAGGAGTGGGATTGCTGGGTCATAAGGAAGCTCCATGTTTAGCAGTTTGAGGAACCTCCAAACAGTCTTCCATAGTGGTTGTACTAGGTTGCATTCCCACCAGCAGTGCAGGAGAGTTCCTTTTTCTCCACACCCTCGCCAACATTTGTTGTTGCTGGTTGTTTGAAGATGTGCCATTCTCACTGGGGTGAGGTGATATCTCATTGTGGTTTTAATTTCATCTCCCTTATTACAAGTGATGTTGAACATTTTTTCAAATGCTTGTTGGCCATCTACATTTCCTCTATGGAGAAGTGTCTTTATAACTCTTCTGCCCATTTTTTTGATGGAGTTGTTTAATTTTGTTGAGTTTCATCAGTTCTTTGTATATCTTTGTGATCAGTCTTTTATCACTAGTTGTATGAGAAAATTTTCTCCCAGTGGGATGTCTGTTTTTTGCAATGTCTCTTTTGCTGTACAGAAGCTCTTGAACTTGATGTAGTCCCATCTAGTTATCCTTTCCTTCATTATCAGTGCGTTGGGTACTGTATCTTCAAAGATGTTGCTGAAGTTTATGTCATGTAGTGTTTCGCCCATCTTTGCTTCCTGGTATTTTATGGTTTCCATTCTTATGTCTAGGTCTTTAATCCACTTTGAGTTGATGTTTGTGTATAGTGAGAGGTAGCTTCCCAGTTTCCCAGTACCATTTGTGGAACAAACTTTCTTTGTTCCATTATATCTTCTTTGCTCCTTTGTCAAAGATTAGCTGCCCATAAACCTGTGGGTTTAATATCTGTGTTTTTCTATTTGAATCCACTGGTTTGTGTGTCTGTTCTGTACCATGTCGTTTTGATTATTATGGCTTTGTAGTATAGCTCAAAGTTTAGGATTGTGATGCCTAAGTTCTTTCTTTTTTAGTCATGACGGTTTTGGCTATTCAAGGTCTTTTGTGGTTCTCAATATTTGTTCTATTTCTTTGAAGAATATCATTGAGACTTTTATTGGTATAGCGTTAAATCTGTATATAGCTTTTAGTAGGATGGCCATTTTGATGATGTTAATTCTCCTGATCCATGAGGAGGTGATGTGTGTTCTTGTATTTCTTTTCACAGTATTTTGTAATTTTCTTTTGTATACGTCTTTTACCTCTTTTGTTAGGTTGAATCCCAGGTATTTGATTCTTTTTGTTTTAATTGAAAAGCAGTTTTTTTTTTATTTCTGTTTCTTCTGATTGGTTGGTTGTGTATAGAAAGGCCTCTGACTTATGTGTGTTGATTTTATATCCTGCTACCTAACTAAACTGGTTGATTGTTTTGATTAGTTTCTCTATAAAGTTTTTAGGGAAAATGTGAAAATTTTTAATACTAGATATCAACACAACACAACCATATGACATACCCTGGAAAAATCCTAGATTTCAAAAATACAGCAACTGGAATGTAAATAGTACTGAAACAGTGCCAAACCCACATGAAGAGGTCATCCATGCATCCATGCATCCATCCATCCACCCATCCATCCATGCATCCATCCATCCATTCATTCATTTCTAGAGTTCTAAGTTTAGCTGTAGACAATAAAATAACTAAGGTAATTTGGGGAAGGCAATATTTATTTTCATAGAAGATCCAAAGAACCAAGAGACAAAGAAGATATAATAGATGAAACAATTCTATTTGTAATAAAAACAAAAAAGATGAAATGCTTAGAAACGAAGGTGTGCTGGAACTTTATTTTTCAGTTTTTAAAAGCTTAAATATGCTAGCAAAGAACACATGGAATGACATTGGCTAATACTTGTAAGTGTTGTACACACCAGTACTGCTCTAAATATCCTCCATGCCTTAACATTCTTCAACATCACCCAATAAAGGAGCTATGAATATTACCTACTGAAGAAATAAAGATTACCACAAGTTTGGAGTAAAAGATTCAATATCATGAAAATGTCAATTCTCCCTTTTACAATGTTAAAAAAAAATTACAAAGGATGTCTGGTCTAGTAAGGATGGTATAGACATGGTTTCTCTGTGAATAAATATAGCCATCAACTCTAAAAATAATACAAGAGTATAAGAGACAACCAAAGAAGAAAACTGCAAGGTGAAAAGAAAAGTTGGTCAGTCAGATTCCAGGACTACAAGAATAGTGTAGTGGCCAGTGTCTCTACACTACAAGGCACAGAAAGGACCTGCCCCCAAGCTAGTAACAGAAAGCAGCCCATGTAGGGACATTCTTTACCCAGATTAAAACGGATTTCCCTGGTAACACCAGACAAACCAGGCATCACTAACAAGGGACTGATGAAGGGAAGTGCTCTCTTTCTCCAAAGAACCTGAAACTCCTTTCAGAAGACCAAGATTTATCAGCAAAGGGGAAATTCCACTGATAAGTTTCTCCTCCCCCACCTAAAAATGAGTACATTATTTTTAGAGTTGATGGCTATATTTATTTATAGAGAAACCATGTCTATATATCATCCTTACTAGACCAAACATCCTTTGTGATTTTTTTGACATTGTTAAAAGGGAGAATTGACATTTTCATGATATTGAATCTTTTACTCAAAAATATGTGGTAAGGAGATAACCCCCCTTGCCCCTTATCACACACACAACAAGCAAACTAGCCCCATAGGCCAAGACAAATTTCCTCTACTTATTCTCACCAGATGGCCAAGTCTGGGGAAGCTCTTCTGTTCCCTTAGGTTGGCACCAGTCGAAGCTACTAGGTCAACAAACACTGCAAGCACTCTGAAATTAGTCATTGAAACCACAGCCCACAAAGTAGACACTGAGAATCATGACAATACACGTACATTAAGAGATATGGAAAGATTTATGACTCACCTAATGAAGTATTCTAGGGAGAGCAAGGCAGATGTCCCAACCTATTCCAAATATAGCTAGAGAGAGCAGGGAGGAAAGGAACAGCTTGGCCTTCTAATGGTGGTTAGGGCAAGGGGCTGGGTTGAGGGCAGGGGTATATGTGGCTTGAACATTCTGCTGGTATCAGAAAAAGGAGCACCTGAGTTTTTTCTTCAACTTGCCCAGATGTAGAACAGAAAGAGGGAACGGGAAGATAAGATTTAAGAGTGGTTAGCAGTCAAACATTAAAAATAGAGGCCAGCCCCTCCCTGGTGGCACAGTGGGTTAAAGCACAGCACTAAGAAGCTAAAGCCACTGCAGCAAGAGTTTGATCCCCGCCCCAGGAGGTGACCACATGGCATGACAGATTTCCCCTGACCCGCCTGCTGTTCCCCTCAGCAGTGTACTTCATCAGTCAGCCTGTTCTGCTGCTCCCCCTCTGTTTCTGGTGAATCCACTCACTGCCCCTGCACCTCTGGCCTGTACCCCAGTTCTGTCTGCATAAATAAATCTTAAAAAAAAAATAGAGGCTAACACAATTAGTTTCTTACAGAAGTTGGGCACCTATCTAACCTACAGTCCCATAGTTTCACTCACAAGAGAAATGAAAACCAATTTCCACAGAAAGAGCTATATATAAATGAATGTTCAGAGTAGCCATGACTGTTAAAGTCTCAAGTGGGAAATAACCTCAGTAGTGAAGAGAAAAATAAAAACTGTGGCTTATCTGTGCAATATAATACTGATAACAGTAAGCACAAGCAAACTACAGCTGACCCTTGAACAACAATGAGGCTAGGACAGCCTCTTACCCCACAACTGAAATTAACATATAACTTTTTACTTTTCCAAAACTAACTTTTTACTTTTCCAAAACTCAACTACTAATAGCTTGCCATTGACTTACCAATAACAAAAACAATTGACATATTTTGTATATATATTATATACTGTGTTCTTACAATAAAGCAAGCTAAAGAAAATGTTATTACGAACACAAGGAAAATAAATCACACCTACAAAACTGTACTATAATTATGGATACTGTGAGTTTACTTCTGTTCACAAGAAAATTTATGTGTAATTGGGTCCCACATTGTTCAAGAGTCAACTGTACAAAATGGATGTGTTTCATAACAGTATGCTAAGAAAAATAATCTACAGACAAAGTAGAGTATGCTTATGTAATTCTAGAAAAGGCAAATATTAATCTATAGTGACAAGAAGATCACTGGTTGCCTTGAGGCTGGTGTGGTTTTACGGGATAAAGTCTGATTGCTAAAAACCCATGAAGGTGCTATCTGCAGTGACAGAAATAGAACTATTTTTTCTTGGTTGCAACAGCAGCACATGAGCATACAATACAAACTATATTCTTAAAGTTGGTATCTTTTCTAGTATAAAATATATCTCAAAAGGTTGATGTCTTAAAAAGGAAACTATTACAGGTCCTCTGACGGCACATGAGTTAAAGAGCAGCACTGTGAAGCTCTACGCAGCCACTGCACCACGAGTTTGATCCCCGGCCAATGAGGCAGTGGCAGTACACTCTTAACCTGCCAGCTGCTCCCCTCAGCAGTGTATTTCAGTACATCTGGCTGTTCTGCTCCCCACTCTGTCTCTGGTGAATCTTCTCAGCCCTACTCTCACCCCCAGCACATCTGGCTTGTACCCCAGTTCTTTTACACATAAATAAAAAAATCTTTAAAAAACGTATGTTAAGGGACAGAACCCAGAAAGTAAAGAATATTACCTTCTGCTTACTTTTATATGAAGCCTAAGCTATGGTAACAGGAATCCAAAAGTGACTGACTCACTACAAAGTGCACCAGGAAATATTTTGGGGTGCTAGAAATAGCCTTCTCTTGTTATGGATGACATGTATAGATGTGCAGAACTGCCAAAATTTATTAAGTTGAACAGCAAGTCATACCTCAATTTAAATAGCAAGGCTTAAGAACAAAAAGTTCTAATCCCACAACTAATAAATACAAGTAAAAGGAAAAGTCAAATCTCATTAATTTTCTAATCATGAGGAAAACAGAAGTGAAAAGTAATATGCAAGTACAGACCTTACAAAATAGATAACATGTAACTAAAACTAAAAACAGGGCCAAAATTATATATGAAAAGTGACTATAACAGATGAGTTTAATTCTAAGTTCAAATTTTCAGTAAAAGTTTTGTGAGAAAATATAACTCATAAAAATGTTAACTATAAAATCTCAAAGTATAACCCACCACTACAAAAAAGACCTGACTGAAAATCATCATCGAAGAAACTTAAAATGTTATCTAAGATTATCTCTAAGAAAACCTTCTGTTACTTATCTATGTTTACTTGCTAAAAATGCCTAATCTGAATCTAATCAAACCTACAGTCCTAACATGCACTTTATAGGCATTTGGGGAAATGGAAAACAAATTACACAAGAAATCTTGATGGAGGGATATTTTCCAAGACAAGACACCAGGACTCTTTCCAAAGATCAACTGTCATTATATAACAAGGGTAAAGGTTTGCATACTGCTCTAGGTAAGGGGTCAGCAAAATTTTTCTATAAAATGCAAAATATAAATATTTTAAAACTTTACAGTCAAACAGGGGTTGTAGCAACTTAGCTGTGCCACTGCAGTTTACAAGAAGACATGGGTAATAATAAACAAATACTCATGGCTGTGTACCACTGAAACTATTTATGGATACTGAAATTTGAATTTCATGTGATGTTCACATATCATTTTTAGTCCTTTAAAAATGTAAAATCCGGACCCTCCCTGGTGGCGCAGCAGGTTAAAGCACAGCACTGAGAATCTAAAGCCGCTTCCGCATGAGTTCGGTTCCCGCCTGCCCCGGAGGAGATCCACATAGTGTGGCAGACCTCTCCTGACCCGCCCGCTGCTCCCCTCAGCAGTGTACTTCGTCGATCTGCCTGTTCTGCCCCCCACTCTGTCTCTGGTGAAGCCTCTCACTGCCCCTGAGCCTCTGGCCTGTACCCCAGTTCTGTATGCACAAATAAATAAATCTTTAAAAACAAAACAAAACAAAAAAAAACTCCCTCATGGCAAACCTCCCTTGGTCAGTGCATGATTCATACTCATCAACGACTCTGCTCTGAAACCAACAGTTCAAGGTTCAAAGAATTTTAGGGTCCTTTGCTGTAGGAACTTGTCAGCACTGATTATTACTAACAGTGAGATGAAAGAGGTGAGACCCTGAGAGCACTCTGTAGCAGAAGCCAATTACAGGGGAGAACATCTCTGAGACAGACAAAATGTGAAACACTATTAGCTCCCAGGTCATTGGCGACTCAGTGACAGTGCGTCCTGAAACAGCCTCACAGAGAGGCAGCCGGCGCTGCACCTGGCCTCTGCAGAGCCCTGGGCTGTGTGGTAGTCTACACTGGCTGCCCTTTCCTGTAATAAACCAGATCTGAAAACACTGTCACTGCGGGTCATGTAAGTTTGCTGTAGTAACAGAAACCTATAAAATTTCCACCTGAGTTAGTGCAGTGATACAAAAGGAAAATCTATGGAAAAAATAAAAGTAACAACCCATGCCCCAAAAGACTGATAGCTCTTACTAGACAATATTAAACAATGTATATTTAATGTAATACTAAACAAAACTTTGAGTTAAATAAAAAGCAGAAAATATATTTGTAACAAATGAGGGATATATACCCTTTAAAGAGTAATATTAAAAACTAGCAAAATAAACACAGACATCTCATAAAAAAATATTGTACAACAGACAAATATTCACCAAAGAAATGCCACAGTTAACACATCTTAAATATTCTCACTTATCATACTAATCCAAAATTGCCAGTTACAAATATAAGAAACCATCACCTATTTTCACCTATCAAAGTCACAAAAAAAATTTTTTTCGTGGACTTTACTCAAATACTGTAAGTATCAAGTATCAAACAGTAAATACGTACCATTTATCCTTGACCTGGGTGGGAGCTGCCCATTCCCTGGAAACTAAAAATCTGTATATAACTTATGGTCATCCACACACTCAACCAACATCGGTGGTTGATTGAATATCAGTTGGTTTAATTTGCAAATGCAGAAACCCTGCCTGTGAGTGGATCTATGGTCAAGCCCATGTTGCTCAAGGGTCAATGGTACTAAAATATACTGCCCACAGGCACAAAATAAAGGAGCTGGTAAATCATTTGGCAAATATGATCCATAGAAATAACTAAAAAATTCCAACTCCTATGAATTCATCTTATGAGAACAAAAAAAATGATCTAAGTTGACTGAAGTGCAGTTATTTACTGTAAGGACAAAGTAAATTGCTTTAAATGTCAAATAACAGAACTGTGAGTCGAATTAGAATATGATAAATACTTAAATCATAAACACTAAATCTTTGAAAATGTTAATGACAATATTAAGGATGATACAGAAAAGTTTGTGTGTATATGTGTATTTATGTATATGTACATTATATTTAAATAACTGGAAAGAAATATCTCAAGGTTAACAAAAGCTATTTTTACAGCAGTGGTGGTTATGCTGTTTTCTAAGTCTAAATTCTCTTCAATGCACACTACATCATCACAAGAAAAATGTAATTTTAGAATATTTTTCACACACACACAAAAATCTATTTTTAATAAACCCATGACAAAATGTATGGAAAATACCCTTCTTTTTCTTTAGGGTTCACATTTAAATAATCAGTTTACCAGGGGCAGAAAATAAGATGACCAAGAAAGAAGGAATCATAACTACTGCTAAGAGTTCCCACAAGCATTTCACAATTGACTATTAAAAAGTATACAGAGAAGGCAGTCTTCTCTGAAAAGTATATTTTTACTTTTACCTTTACTTACCATCTTCTGCTAAGATCTTGGCTGCATCTTTATCATCTTCCCACTTCCCAGTCACAAAGCAATCTCTGATACTGTTCATAACCTTACAGAAAAAAGGCAGCACTTAGTTGACATCAATCAACAAAACAGCGGCTTCTAAGAAAAAGAAGATATACATACAGATAGCTCAACAGGTACACGAAAAGGTGCTCATTATTCCTATCAGGGAAATGAAAATCATAACCATAGTAAGCTAACACCTCACACCTGTGAGAGAGGCACTTTCAAGGAGACAAGAAAGGATTGAAGGAAAAGGAGCCCTCTGCACTGCTGATAAGTAGTGTAGCCACTATGGAAAAGAGTAGGAAGGTTCCTTGAAAACTAAAAATAGAATGACCATATGATTCAGCAATTCCATTTCTAGATAATTATTCAAAGAGACTAAGGAAAAAGAAAAGGGCCCTCCCTGGTGGTGCAAAGGGGTTAAAGCCCAGCAGTATGAAGCTAGTCACAGCCACTGCAGCATGAGTCTGATCCCTGGCCAGGGAGCTGACCCGCATGGCACAGCAGACCTCTCCTGTCTTGCTCCCTGCTCCCCCCGGCAGTGTACTTCAATCAATCTGCCTGTTCTGCTCCCCACTCTTTCCCTGATGAATCCTCTCACTTTCCTGCACCTCTGGTTCTTCCTTTCACCTTCCTGCATAAATTTATTTATTTGTTCATAAGTAAATAAATCTTAAAAAAAAAAGAAAAACCACCACAGACTCAAATGATATACCTATACCCGTGTTCAATGCAACATTATCAACAGACAACACAGGGAGCCAACCTAAGTGTTCATAGGTGGATGTATGAATAAAAAAATTGTGTGTGCAATGTGCATTGTATGTATATTACATGTATATGTATATTTTATGTGTAAATAAACACACACACAATCCACAGATATCATACAAATATACCCACACAATAAAATAATACTCAGCCATATGAAAGAATAAAACCTTGCCCTCTGCAACAACCTACAGACATTATACTAAGTGAAACAGGTGAAACAGATCAGAGAAAAACACCACATGTTTTCATTTATATGTGGAATATAAAAGCAAAACGCTAGCCCCTACCCCCAAGCCTAACTTGCATAGACAACAGATTGGAGATTGCCAGAGGCAGCAGGGAGGGAAGAGAATGTGGGTAAAGGGATTCAAAAGACACAAACTTCTTGTTATAAATTTAAATAAGTCATGGCAACAGGACATAATGTATTGCATAATGGCTACAGTTAGTAACAATGCATTGTATATTTGAAAGTTAGTGAGAGAAGATCTCTCACAAGGAAAAAATATTTCTGGAATTATATAAGGAGGGGAACCGTAACTCAACTTATAAGGTGATTATCATTTTGACACGTATATAAAACTGGTTCATGTTGTATACCTGAACTAGTACGTCAATTATTCTTTAATTTGAAAAAACTAAAAGGAAAAACAGAGGTTACAATTTGTCTTTAAATACTTTCAATTGCTTCTATGGTTTCCAAGAGAGCCTATTAGCTAACTTTACCTTTCATACAGATAGTATAAGCACAGAGACAAAAAACATACATATTCTCCCAATACCTCAAAGCAGACCATTCACTAAGAACATTGTATGCAAGTTCCAATATTTTGACATGGATGACCTCTCTAAGAATAGATGCATTTTAGGAAGAAAATCTGAGCTAAAATCAGAAAATCAAATTCTGGAACAATATACAGAAAACTTCATGGAAGTTTCTAGTGTTTTCAAACTGACACAAAAAGCAAAATAAAATACTTGTTTAAGCTTCTCTTACTTTTTGAGAACAAAAATCAGCCAATTCCATAAAACCAAAGGGATAATACATTCATTTTTTTATTTTGCTTTATGTGTCGGTTTGAAAAACACTGTAAGTTCCCAGGAAGTTTTCTGTATATGTTAATAGAGACTTACTATGTCAATTTGAAAACTTAATTCCTTTGACTACTGATAATTTTCAGACTAAGAGAAAATGTTCACAATAGTGCAAAGAGTACTAGTTCCCAGTTCAAGATCACCCATAAAGCAGATGCTGGTACATTTCTCAAATTACAGAATAAAACCTATACACAACCGTTCAGTTCAGAGTCTGCTTCCTGGTGAATTTGAACCTTTGACAGCATGAATCATCACTGCCAATGCCTCAGAAACACATAAAATGTAATGGAAAAAAGAAATGGGCAGAGGGGAAAATTATAGAACATAGACTTAAAAGGTACAGCAAAACCCAAAACCTGGTAAAATTAATCTGTCGTGTTTACTGATGCAAACCTGGAGGAGAAAATAATGGAAAAAAAGAAGAAAATGGTTATGACAATGCCATGATTCCTTCTGCAGTGAGGAAGAGAATTAAACTGGGATGGGCATGTGGTAGTCTCGGGGGAAGTGACTTAGTAACTCACTACATTAAAATTTATTTTTATGTGGTTTTCTATAATCTGCATTAAACTTCACCATAAACAAGTTACATAAAAGCTGACGGAGTCCATAATTGCTACCTACTGAACTGAAATAAGTAATGTAACAGTAATATTATGCTTCTCTCAGGAGTGACATTTATGCTAACCTGAATAATCAAAAGAAGCTAGTCTTGGGAAGATCAGAACAACAACCCAGGAGAAAAACCATAGAGAGACAAGAGTTCTAAAATGGAATTAAGCATGGCAAATTTGAAAAGTGAATCTCACTATGACTAGTGAGTGATAATAGAAAATTCACAAGTGTCTGTCTGAAAATTATAAACAATGACACAGGGACTCTAGGTATAACACACAAAGCATTTTAGATGCATAAGAATTTATGAGCAATGCCTCAAAATCAAGATTAACTTTACCACCCACACTAAATGTAAAACCTCTTCCTTTTCTCATAACACAAGCACAGTCTGACCAAACTCAACATGTTACTACTTAGGATACAAATACCCATTAAAACATCTTATAAAAATAAGAAGCTAATAATAGGTAGGAAATATTGAAATCACATTATATTCTTTTAAAACAACTCCTGAATACTCTCATATGTCAAGCATATTACTAATAGCCTTACCTCTTCTAAATCCCAATCATGGGGTGCTTCCACATGAAATCTGGAGCAGTCCAAAGAGTCAGCCTTGTGCTTACACTCTCTGGAAGGCTGGCTGACACGAAACAACCCTCCAAGTTCTTCCCTGGTATCATCTTCTTCTTCATTATCCTCTGTCACTAAAGAAATCACCAGGTTGGAAAAGTGAGAACAAATGACACCCTGGAGAAGCGGGGACTGAGTACCCCAATTTAATGACAAGTAAAATGTTACCTCTGAGCACATTACACAAGCTGAGAAAGGTTTAACATAGCTGGGGAATTTCTAGCATGGTAACAAGGAAAGCAAGGAATTCTAGCAAGGAATTTCCCCAGCAAGGTAACAGCAAAGAATCCACTGATAAGGCAGAATATTGGGGACTAGGGGAGGAAAGGGACATTTAGAAGCAGACTATCCGATTATCATGGAGTTTCTCTTGAAGGATACTGAGTCTGTCAACAGCTACGTGTACTGAGGCCAAGCCTGAAATTGTACTGAATTAGTACACAGCAACCCTCAGATCCTAGCCCAGACAAAACTTGTTTTAATTATGTGGTTCCCAAAGAGAATGATAGAAAGTCCACTGCTTATATTAATATGTTTTGTATTATTAACTGGTGCTCTTTCTTAAAAGAACATATAGACAAATCTACTAAAATATAAAACCAAAGGACCAGGGTGAAAGAGAAAACAAGAATTATAGACTTCGTATTTAGAAAGAAAAAAAATCTTTATAGGAAAAAGTACTTTTTGGCACCAAATTCTACCAACATTTCATGAAGGGTTTTGTATAGGAGGAACAAAATTATATAATGGACAGTTTTCTATTCAAAAGTTTTATGGAAGCCCACAAACCTATGTCATAATTGATTTATAGTCCTTACAAGCACTGATTTTTGAAATCTGCCAATAAAAACCATAACAGGCAGAAATAACTTATGGGGATTAAAATTACCACCTAAATCTTCCAACAACTTTTCCAATTTTGCAAAGTAGTCAAAAACACTAAATAGGCCCTCCCTGGTGGCGCAGCAGGTTAAAGCACAGCATTGAGAATCTAAAGCCGCTTCCTCATGAGTTCAATTCCCGCCTGCCCTGGAGGGGACCACATGGTGTGGCAGACCTCTCCTGACCTGCCCGCTGTTCCCCTCAGCAGTGTACTTCGGCATCTGCCTGTTCTGCTTCCCACTCTGTCTCTGGTGAAGCCTCTCACCGCCCCTGAGCCTCTGGCCTGTACCCCAGTTCTGTATGCACAAATAAATAAATCTTTAAAAAAAAAAAAAACACTAAATAAAATATTTCTAGATGTAAACCAGAGCTCTTTTACCTTTTCCATAAATAAGCTTTCGAAGGTTTGGAGTTGCTTGTTGCTGCCTCAAAAAGGCTTCAGCTGCCTTCCTAGAAAGGTCTTCCTTCCACTTGAGGGCTCCTGAAAGGACCGAGACTAACATCAGTTAAGTCCTCTCTTCTTAAAATTAACTGCTCATTCATCTTACAATCTTTTTTGTAAGATGCAGATCTGAACAGTTAACAAAATCTCCAAAACAGCAAATTGCTATAGCAAATGTCTATATTTAAGACATTCAATTTGTAACCTTTTCAGTGCCAAGTTATAAAAGAAATCATATGAAGAACAAGCATACCTGATGTTTCTGTGGAATAGTTATTTTCTTCCTTGTAATCATCATCTTCTTTGAGTAAATCTTCTTCATTATCAATTAAGTTATCTGAAGCTAGTTTCTGATCACCGACCATTTGAGAATGCTTTGGAAACTTTTTCCTAATCACTTCTTCATTTTCTGAATCCTCTTCATCTATACTGAGAGAGGAGCTTTCTTCAGATTCTTCTTCAGATGCAAATGCTTCTTCAGCTGTGCAATGACCTGAATCTGAAGTGGTGAGGGCTGCTTTTTTCAATTTTGAAGACTTCTCTGGATTCAAACTATCACTCAAACCATTAATTTGTAGTAGTTCTGGTTTACTATTTTCTCTAATAACCTTGGATTCTGACATATCCTTTGCTCCTTCTGCAGAGGAATCTTCTCCTTCACTGCTTTCACTGGCTTCCTCCACTTCTCCTTCTTCATCTGTACTCCTCTCAAGGTCATCATCACTGTCTGCAAATGCCGGCAAATCCACCTCAACATCTTCTTCCAGATCTTCAAGTTTCTGCCGTTTGAAACCTTTACCAGTCATATAGTCTCTATCAGGCATTTCAGCATTTTCCTCCTCTTCTGTTTCATCATCACTGGAGTTATTTCCCAATCTTTCACCTTCAGACATTTCTTCATCTTCATTATCACTATCTCCAGAGTCATCTTCCTCATCTCCAAAAACAGCTTTACGACGCACTCGACCAGTTTTCAAATCCATCTGCTTTTCCTCTTTTGGCATCCACAGCCTAGATAACCAAGGAAATGCACAATAATTCAATTTTTACAGTAGTAGGCTAATCTAAAAATGGCAAGTCAATAAAGATGCAAACAAACAGAAAATAAAGTCAAGTAATGGTTTTAAGTGATATAGCATACAAAGGAATAATTTCGTAAGTTCTAGAATAAATAGCTAATAAGCAAACTTATATACAATTCTCTAACACTGCTCTTCAAAAAAAACTACAGATAGAAAATTTTGTTGGTCAATGTGTCTAAATTTTAGGGGAAACTGCTTGAATGGGAAGTGAGTGTTTTAAACAGATTTCCAACTTTGAAACAGATGATCCTTTTTTTAAAGTTTATTTATTTATGCATACAAGAACTGGGGTACAGGCCAGAGGTGCAGGGGGTGAGAGGATTCACCAGAGAAAGAGTGGGGAGCAGAACAGGCAGATCTGCTGAAATACACTGAAACATGATCCTTAAAGAAATGGCCAACTGAGGTGCAAAGCAGCAAAAATACAAAGCCAATGTGGAACATGTGAATATCTGTGTCAAAAAGCAAATAAATACTCAAAGATTAAAGGGTGTGTGCTAACAGGACACAGATTGAAGGGACAACACAGGCAACAAAAAGAATTATGATAGTAATGGGATAACAAATGAAATTTTTTAAAGTTCATAATCAATCATGATACTAAAATAAAAGGGGTAGAAGTAAAAGTTCTTTATTGAAGAATACCAGCTAACAAATGTAGAAAGAATAAGAAGAATACTGCCATTTGAAACCACCAATTAAATGAAGTCAACCCTTCATTAAATTAAGCAGTTTCACATCCACAGTCAACCAAATGCATGTTGAAAATATATACTATGTAGTTAAGGCATTAAGGGTTTCATCAGTACTAAACAAGTACAGATATTTTTTGTCATTATTCTTTCTATAATACAGTATAAATTATATCAGTAGCATTTACACTGTATTAGGTATTATAAATACAGAAATAATTTAAAGTATATAAGAGCATTTATTTTATGCTTTCATAAAATATAAAGCATTCTAGTACAATACTAAATCCAATGGACTTGAGCACCCAAAGACTTGGATCCCCTAAAATATAGAGATGACTATATTTGATAAAGAAGAATCATAAAATTCTAAAACCAAATTAAACATACTATGGCAGGACCTCCCTGGTGGCGCAGCAGGTTAAAGCGCTGCACTGCAAGCAAGTTGCAGCCACTTCAGTGCCAGTTCGATTCCCCGCCCCGAGATGATCCACATGGCGCAGCAGACCTCTCATGACCCACCCACTGCTTCCCTCAGCAGTGTACTTGGTCAACCTGTCTGTTCTGCTCCCCACTCTGGCTCTGGTGAATCCTCTTACCACCCCTGCACCTCTGGTCTGTACCCCAGTACTTTATGAATAAATAAATCTTAAAAAAAAAAAATACTATGGCACTATTTTATATAGCAGATTATATAAAACTGAAGAAAAAATTAAAAAACAAGTAGAAATATACTAAAAATTGTACCAAAAAAGAATAAGTTGCAATAACAAAATGGTGACTATAAAGACTGTATAGAAAAGGAAAATACTCACAATACAGATGCAACTGTAACTACGGTAGAGAGAAAAGCCACACTGACAAGGGTGACTAAGGAATGCTCAAAAATGAAAAAGCTAACAACACTTAGTGTGAAAATGGGCATCTTTAGGCAAATACTTCCATCTGCTATGCATTATGCTAGGTAGCTTGTGTGGACGATGTGTTTATTTAATCATCACAACTCTTATGAGACATCTGTGAAATGAGGCTTAGGAGATTCTTTTCCCCAACCTAGTAGGTCTATGCAATCAATTACAATTTCAAACTATTTGCTACTTTTTTCAAAAAAAAGTTCTTAATGTTTGTATATATGTATAATAAAATATAAGCTAGATAATCTCAATCACTTTCAGACTGATTTCTATTTTATTTATCACAGTAAAATCAAAGTACCCACATGTACAAGGAATTGTCAACACACAGAAAATAATTTACATAGACTGAAAATGCCACTATATTTTCACATAGTGAAATAGACCCACAGGAGACACTACTAAGTAATCTAAGTAAAACTAAGAGAAAAGTTATGTGGCTTTTAGAAAGCCCATTGTTCTAGGGCTTTCTGACTGCTTGTTCTAGGCTTGTGGTCACTATAAGAAAGCCAATATACTCAGATCTGCCAAAATTCATAAAGTAGCCTTAGGAAAGGTTTTATGGTATCTGGGAAATACTAGGAGTCTGTTAAGGACAGAATTCTGTACACTATTTAAAAAAAAAAGGTCCTTCATATAGGCTTACTCGTAGTCTAGAGGCTAAGTCTCAGTGCAACCACCGTGAAAGCCTACCTCCTTGGCCTGAGTTCAATCCCTGGCCAGGGAGCAGACACACATGGCCACAGCAGACCTCTCCTGCTACCCTTTGCAGTGTATTTCAGTAGATCTGCCTGTCTTTTCCCATTCTAACTCTGGTGACTCCTCTCACCCACCCTCCCTCCCCTGTACCTCGGGTCTGTACCCCAATTCTCCCACACAAAAATAAATAATAAAATCTTCAAAAAAATTCTTCCATGTAATATTACGTAAATGAAGAACCCTCAGAACTATATGCACATATAAACCAAAGCAAAAACAAAAGAACCTGGAATGAATTCCACTGAAATGTGTTATGATGGCAGAATTTTGGGTCCTATAATCTGTAATTTTTTTTTTTAATTATAAATAGAAAGGGCCCTCCCTGGTAGCCAATGGGTAAGGACACAGCACTGCAAACAAGCCACAACCACTTCAGTGCGAGTTCAATCCCCAGCCCCAGAGGTGATCCACATGGCACAGCAGACCTCTCCTGACCCATCCACTGCCTCTCAGCAGTGTACTTCATCGATCTGCCTGTTCTGCTCCCAACTCTGTCTCTGGTGAAACCTTTCATCACCCTTGCACCTCTGGCCTGTACCCCATTTCTGTATTCATAAATAAATTTTTAAAAAAATAGAAAAATAGCAAACTTACCCTTGATTATCTATATCCTCTGACCCCAGTGGTTGGGAATCAGAAAAAAGTGTCACTCTACTTGAGGCCATTTTGGCATCAATAGTGGAATGGGTGGAAATGAGACTCTGGACCAGTTCATGGTTAGGCCTTGTCTCATCCTGTCATGGTCACAAGAAAAGGAAAGTGAGGAATGCACAAGGATTTAAAGACAGACACATTGGTTTTGACCTGTTTCTCAAATCATCCCAAAAAACACTTCCTAAGAAATTCTCATTGCCTCAAAAAAAAAAAAAAAAAATGTGTATCTTCTTACAACAAAATCTAAAATTGGTATGTCTTCCTTAAGTGTTCCAAAGCTCATGGAGTACACAACTGATAACCTGAACACCTAGCTTGAAAATCCTTAGATACCAATGTATTCCATTTTAAGCCAATAAAATCTCATCCCAGAATAAAGAAAAATATAAAATCAACTTAAAAAAAAATGCTACCTTTTGACCTAAAAATTTTCCTTCAAGGAATTAACTGCATAGAAAGATCCACCCCAGTGAAAGAAGCTACATGGACAGGCGCTCACTGCAGCACTGTTTAAAACAAGAGTCCCATGGTGTCCAAGGGCTGGTCAGCAATGAGGCTTATCCAGTGCCCTGCTACTGGGCTTCAATAAGAGGTAAACAGTTCAACAAGTATTAACAGACAATGGAATCACATATTTAAAAATGCTTCCCAAAAATTGCAAAAGCATTTATTTTGGCTTCCACACAACAGTGTTATTTCTCTCTCATACACCAAATACCATGTCTATGTACTACATGCATACCTAAGATGGTGTTTGCATGTAATATATAACAATATAACTATATACAAATCGGATGTCTATGTCCAGAGAGAAAGACCACAGAGAGCTAGCACACAGTGACTTTACATAAAGAGACAGGAAGTAGAGCAGCCAAACTGCATGCATTGCTCACATTGGGAGATGTGGGATCCCTTGTGTAACTGGGTAGCAGAGACATAGGGAGGACATGACTTTTACTTTTTAATTAGTGCAATCAAGTATTCTGTATATTTATAGTAAGTGTTGTGGTCTTTCTCGAATACATGAATAAATATAAAAAAAGTTTCATGGAATAAAAGCTGACTACATTATTCCCTGTGATTTCCTTCTCACCGGTTCCTGGAAGCCGTGGCTACCACCAAGGTCAACATAGACAGCATCTTTGTCATATAGCACACCACCAACTCCAGACAGAGGTGCATAAACCAACTTCTCTTTCTCATTTAAACAGCGCTTCTTTTGTTGTTCAGGAAGTGCACAGGGGTCTGGGAGGAAACTGACATCACTCACAACAAAATCTCCTACACCTGGTACAGGGACAGAGCAAGATAGCTTCAGTTGTAAGTATATTCACTGCTGGCAGAAATGACACACAGATGAAAGTCTCTAACCAAAACAAGGGCATTGTGGGACCTGGCACCACATCTCTCAAGCTAAATAACATCTGAGGGGGTCCTCCCTGGTGATGCAGCGGGTTAAAGCACAGCACTAAAAAGCTAAATCCACTTTAGCATGAGTTCGAACCCTGCCAGCCCCAGAGGTGACCACATGGTGTGGCAGACCTCTCCTGACCCACCCACTGCTCCCCTCAGCAGTGTACTTCATCGATCTGCCTATTCTGCACCTCACTCTGTCTCTGGTGAATCCTCTCACCGCCCCTGCACCTCTGGCCTGTACCCCAGTTCTGTATGCATAAATAAATAAATCTTTAAAAAAAAAAAAAACATCCAAGGAGAGGGGATTGGGGCAATTCAACACTTCCTAACAACTGCAGAGCCAGGGGTAACTCTAAAAAACCTACAGGATACGCTATCTTATTTGGTCATTTTCCCATTTTTCCAAAGAAATGATGTTATCCCAACATGTCTATAAATAGAATGTAGTTTACAACAAAATGATACCTGGCATGTGGATTTGGCTTTTATTTTTCAAATACGCTCCTCTTAAATAACCATAAAGAGACACCTTCCGGTCACACTTGATATTTGTTCGGACATCTTCTGGATTTGTCAAGTCTTCCATCCTAGAAAAATAAAACCCAATCACAGGATAGACATGAATGTCAAAGATCTTATACCTCCCTTCAGGGGTCATGACTCATCATGTTGACTAGTTTTCTAAACACATTCTCCAGAAAATTATTAAAAAAAAAATTCAGAACTAAAAAGGTGCAATTTACACACAGAGGAAAAGAAGCAAGCAAGATTGTACATCTCTTACATGGCATACATTTAACTACTGAGACACAGAAATAGTAAATGCTATCCATCTGGGGATGGGGAAGAACAGAGGATACATTCAGAAAAGCCCTCTATGGAAGAGGATTATGCTTTGATATGGGTGTGTTTAATATGGTTTGGGTGGCAGGTGGATAAAGGGTATTCTTCCAGGCTTAGAAGATAATACTAAAAAAGCAGAAGGGAAAGAAAGCAGGATGTGGCTACATCCTATAGCCTTAAATGGTTCAAAA